TCATCTCTTCTGAAATAGGAACGTATAAAAATCCACTCAGATAGAAAATATATAACTTCCTCGATTGAAACAGCAAGTAGGGGCTTCCTTCATCGATAATCCTACTATAAATGTGACTTGAGGGAGGCCTCGTTTTCTATGAGTGGCACATATTATTAAGAAATTACTGCAACATTAATCAAAGTAAGATTACTCTGAATTGGTGACTGTTGATTTATGTAGAGTGGTCTATGAAATTCTGCTGAGTGGTATCGAAATAATTATAAAGGAAGTCCGGGAAACCCAGCATTTCTTCATTTCTCCATCATAAATTCTAGGAAAGTACTGAATTCGTCACTGGATTCCACGATACGGATTTGTTGGCGATTTAAAGTCGTCTCTCTAACCATCAGCATGTAGAAGGGCTTCAAGACACATGAGTCCTAGGCTCATCTCTACTCGTCCACATGAAAAAGTTGTGAAGCACGAGATGGATGGCAGGATCAGGATTTTCTTCCATTTACTTTTGAAGGAAAGCTCTCTGATACACTGAATTGCCCAAATTTGGCATACACTATTGCGTCATTTATAAATCTGCATACAAGATGATACTTTACTCCTATCCTCCCTTCCAAATATTTGTCCTTTTCTACTCCTGACCTCCAGCTCGACATGGGCATCCTCGAGAACCAGTACACTTAATACCGTCTTGCATGTGGATCTGGATAACCCTAATTGCTCCTGTTCCCTACTCTTTCTCAAGGTACCATGTCGACCGATCTGACGCCATCACCCGCCTCCCACTCACTTGGCTTTAACACTGGCTTGTGTGACCGTCTACCACACACCGGTTCTGAGATGCGACGCCCCCTTCCGATATTTTCCCATCCAAGCAGAGGCTCCGACTGCTCTGGAGAGGCAGTCGAGAAGACGGACAGTACAAGCGAGGAGAATGTTCCGGGGAGAAACAGACGTCTTTGCACCAGACAACCGAGTCCATTCTTCAGCCCCCGTCTGCCACCTTCGGATGGGCCGCCATCTTCTCTACAGTTGGATTTGGCGGAATCCTTCCTGGCGGCTCTGACAGGTCGCAAGGAGTTGCTTTCGCCGGCCTCACGACAACTCGACTTGAACCCGGGCCTCGTCTTCCCCTGGTTGCCAGGTCAGGCTCTGAATGGGGTACAACTGTGCCGCAGTCCGTTGCATTTTCATGCTGCCAGTCTGGTCGGGGATCAGGCGAAGAGTGAAGAAATAAAGCATTCTCCAGCGATTGAAGCTGAAGCAGGAGAATGCCAGAAGACAAGTGAAGCCATGGTGAGTGATGGAGAGCGTGAGGCGAGAGCGACTCCGGACATGCTTATTGGGCAAGAAGAGGAGGATATTGAGCTTTTCAATGAGTTTGGGGAGATAGACGATACATTCGAGGAGGACGATGAAGGAGAGGGCGATGACGACTTTGACGACGAAGATAACGACGACGATGAGGTGCAAGCGGAAGGGGCAGATGAAAACGGAGAGGAAAAAACTAGCACACTCTTATCGACGTTACCAATTGCCAAGGCAGAGGTTGATTTTGCACATGTACAGGATACTCTCACCCACAAAGAGTTGGCCTCCTTTGGCACGATGGCAAATCTTCTGGATCCTCACAGAGTCCTAGATCTGTCCAATAAGCCGGCACTTCTGGCACCGGTCAAGGAGTCAATGAAGCTGACCGATGATGGAAGGGAGGGGAAGGAGGCAGACAACGAGGGCGAGAGGGAGGCAAGGGCATTCAAAGGGCAGTTTGGAGATGGGAAAGAGAATGAAAATGACGAAGAACTGGGGCGACGAGATAATGTGATTGCCGAGTGCAATCTGGGCAAAAAAGCGTATTCAATTAAGAGGGAGGAGCTGTATGAGCCGGAGGGTGGTTCAAGACGAGTGAACTTCGACCTTTTGACCTGGCTCAATCCCGGCCATTTGAGCCTCTTCTCCTCTCTGGCGGGTGCGCGAGAGGCCCTGGTGGGATGCACGCAGACAGTGGACGCCGCCGCCTCGAGTCCCAGCCAGTCGAATGTACCAACTGCCCATCCGCGTCTTCTCGACTCCGAGTCACCCGCCGATGGCAGCTCCTGCGCGCCTCGAGGACCACAAGTCCAGGGTCAGTTGACCTCAGAGACGAGGCTGTCGGAGGCTGCAAATATCCCTCGTCTCTTCTCCGGCTGGTTGAAGCACTGCGAGGCCCTGTTGACCGAGCCCCTCAATCACAGCCATTCCTCCCTCGAGCACGAAAGGCTAGACGCGGCACTGGCGGTGAGGTCGACTTACGTCAGCGAGGGTTCAGAAGAGATTTCCTTTCTGAGAACTTCGACCCAACTGGCACGAACGCAGCAGATGACACAACTGGCACCACCAACCTCGGCGACGCCGATCGCCACCTCTGTATCGTCTTCATCTTCCTCCTTCTCCTCCTCGTGCTTCTCCTCCTCCTCTTCCTCCTCCTCCTCCTCATCATCATCACTTTCTTTTTTGCCGGCAGTAAAGAATGCCGCTTCAACAGGTGGCAACGCTCTTTCTGGATCCTCATCGTCTAGGCTTAGTCCTACCCCACCGCCACACTTTCCCCACTTTATGCAACCTCCTATTCGGGTTGTGCCGCCCTCGACAATGCCAGGTTCGAATCCCGGAGAACTCCCACCACCTCCACCGACCCAGCTTACGCAGACCCAGCTACCAGGCGAAACAGATGTGCTCAACTTTTTCCCCTTCGGCCTTGACCAGAATATGGCCTGTCCTCTCTGCAAGAAGTGCTTTCGGTTCGAAAAGAACCTCCTGCGCCACATGCAAAAGTCACATGCAGCGGGCACTGGCGAGTCGGTGCTCAAATGCAAGTTGTGCAACTACACAACGCGGCACTATAGCAACATGTATGTTCACATCAGGACACATACAGGTGAGCTTATGCGTCACATTTTGATAAAGATCAGAGTATTGGTGTGGAAAACAGGACAGTTAAGATATTGCTCGCAAAATTCACGATTTATTTTCATCATTTATTTTTTCCATTTATGCTTACAGTCAGGTCACTATGATGGAGATAGTGGCATAAACTTCAACTCGCACTGACTTGTAGAATTGCCATTAACATTATTGGAAGTATTAGGGGAGCTTTGAATCGGTAGTTGTTGCTAGTAGTGGCCGAGATTACACGTAAACCCAGACCAGGGCTGTTGGACCCCACATGTCCTGATTTGTGCACCCACAACACGAAGCCAGCCAAATTTCCGTTATCTATGCTGATTACTAATTAAAATTTATCCTCATTCATCCATAAATTTCAACATACAGCTTTATCTACACGACTACCAATTTGGGCATCCTTCCTTTCTAGCTTAAGTAGATGCTGCCACCAACTGGGGTAGCGATATTCGAGAAGCCAAAAGTCGTCTGAAGCAAGTCAGGATGTCGTTGTTCCATTTATAAGTAGGCTGTCGTGACCACTAGGAGATCTGGTATAATAGCTGTATACACCGGTGGTTCCTAAACTTTTCCCATCGTGGCGCCCTTTTTCAATAAAAATTTTTCCATGACGCCCTACCCTAAGTATGACTATTCGTAAGTAAGAGATAAAAATACAAAAAAACTCGTGTATCTTCATTATTTTTAAAATACTTTATTAGCATTAAGTTAATATTTAATAATTAATGTGATGGATAAGCCTGCAAATCACTACACATTTTCTCCAACGGAAGCTTTTACAATAGTTCACTGTGCCCCTGTAAAGAGGCCGCAGCTCCAAGGGCCGCCGCGGCGCACAGTTTGAAAATCACTGATATACACCATACTTCATTTAAGGTGGTGAAGGACTGGTAGTTGGATTTTTCCACAATGATATGAGTAGGCCTTACGTTACCTACTTCCCAAAAGGTATTCTCCGTCAGCACTCCCAGTGGGAGTCACATTGTCATAGTACAGCGTATAATCTCGAAACGTTAATCACTACACCAGACTATGACGAGTGTCCTTGGGTAACGCAGCATTTGTTATAATACAGAATACTTTGCTTCCTCAACAATCCCACTTGATAAATGTGATATTGAATTTCACTTCTGTCCTCTAATCCAAAGCAGTCATGGCAGTGTGGCATATTGGTTAATGTGTCGAAACTATACCCTACACTAGCACAATACGGTCTGGGGTGCTGATGAGACCCAGACGAGGTTGAAACTAAATTCCACTGGATGCGAATAACATTTGGGATGTAAGGCTATGCAAAATTCAATAGAAACTTAAGGTCTACTTATATAATTGTGAGAAAATTCAACTGTCAGTCTATCATTCCCTTAAACGAAATAGGGTTCACACATCTCCTATCTCAGATAGGATTTCCGTCTATGGATGCAGTTGGCACTTGGCTATCTACAAGAATTTAGGATCAGGATTGTGACATTACTTCCCATTTCAAAGTAAAAGTTGCTTGGAAGGAATTCAGGATGCAGCCTCACCGTAAACCACAGGATTAACGCGTAGAGAAGACTGTTTTATTGTGCGAAGAAGTTCTCGCCTCGTCTCTCCTGCGACCCCGATGAAACTGTGGTAAGCTTTCGTCTGTACTGTGACAGACATAATCTGAACAGGTATCCATACTTTATGAAATAAAGCAAAAATATACTTAACCAAGGGAAAAGGTGACCGGTTGCAACCGTACACTAGTTTATTTGTGTAGGGAAACAGCTGCCACCGAACGCACTTCCGGTTCAGGAAATCACTTCACTCATCTACAAGCACGTAGAGTTGGTTTGGGATAGCCAACTAAATCATGGGATGCCTCATTAAGATCGCGAAGTTAGGCGTATAAAAAAGCGACCAGGTTTGCAGC